GATATATATATCTATATATATATAGATATATATATACATATATATATATATGTATATATATGTATATATATGTGTGTGTGTATATATGTGTGTGTATATATATATGTATATGTATTTCAGTTCAGTTTCAGTGTCGCTCAGTTTCACGTCTTTACCTGGGGGTGGCAGGTAACCATGGAAGAGAACACTACCACATGATGAGCGGTCCAGTTCCTCACACAACAGCAGGCGACGCACTGCACATGTATGCACGCACACAAAGACAGAGGGGCAGACAAAAAAACAAAGCAAAAAGCAACAATATGCAAGTTATTATTAGCTCATTATCATAATAACATTAATATGGGTTACTTAATATAGTTACTGATGCTGATTTTCTTTTTCTTTACTGATGGAAATTTTCCTCAGGATCTTGTTCTTTAGTTTGTTTTGCCAAAGTTCATGTCCACTTTGATTCAAATTAGATCCAAGTACTTTGTTCTGTATATAATGAGTTTAAGAAGGTGATCAGCTTTCACTGAGGTAAGCTTCCCATTTGAGTACAGAGACAATGCAGGGAAGTTACAAACATTGAAACAGGATGTAAAACAACATTAGAGTACATGGAACTAACACTATTACAGCTGCGAGGTTGGTTAAATTGAGCCTCAAAAAAACATTCAAACTAAAGAGCAACATTTCACATTAACGACAGCAGCTCTTTGTACTATACTCGTTCCAAAAAAAACCCAACCTACTCAACTATTATGCAATGCCTGCTGATATTGGAGACATGGAGTGAACGCTGGCAAAATGTATTGGCTGCAAAACAGGTTTATTATAAGCTTTCCACAATGTTTGTACTCATACTTGGCTGACTCTGTTTCCTGTTAAAACTTTGTTCCACAACATACCCAGAGGAGTAATCCCATAAAACTCTGCTTCATGTCTCAGGACGCTGATGTTGACACCCCTGCAGAGAGAAACAAACAGCATATTTGTTCTGTAAGTTACGAGGAACAAAGCGACAGAATTACACCAAAAAATAGACAGATATTTTCTGAATATCATTAAGACTGCTCACCGCAGGTCCAGTTCTTTGGTTCGGAGGAAATTCAATATTGGTGCAAAAGCTGTCGGGTCTCTGTCAATAAATATCTGAAAGACAGAAAATCAGTTGGTGAGGACTGAAAATCCAGTTGTTTGTCGCAATGGACACAAAAGCTGCCTAACTATTAAGTCACTTGATTGGAGAGTTAATGAAAATGTCATGGCTCTGGAGAGTTACAGTGAACATTTCTGTTTATTTTCTAACACTTTTCAGAATCCACAACAAATTCTGGAACTAAAGTTATGAAGTCAGAAGTGGCCTTGCAAAAACAGCGCGTCATCCAACAGCAGAGAAGTGGATGTCATCTCATCTGCTCATCTCAGCACCATGCATCGTACTTCAGAACAGTAATGTGTAACAGACAAAATGTCATGTCCTTTTTCTTTCCCCTGATGTTGGATGGTGCCTGCAGATGCTGCCCCAGTTTGGAAGCAACGGCTACTCACAGCTCCAGTTTCATCCCGAAGAGTGGAGATCCTTCCACTCAGTAAACTGGAAAAGAGACACAAGAGTTCTCCAGTTAGCTAAAGCACATCTCTATTTCCACTTACCACCAGTGTCACCACTACAAGCAATTATTTTACAATAACAAACACTTGGCTAGCCTGTTGACACTGAAATACAAATTATTACTATATCAGTGTGTGCTGCTATTAACTATGACTATTAAGTTGAAAGAGTCTGCATGAAAAGAAAAAAAAACCTTCAGACAGCTGGCAGCAGAGCAGATAGACTGACAGACAGGCAGACAGACAGGTGCCTTGGCAGGCATTTACACTACTTGGTCAGCTGTTGTCAAACTGTGAGCCAGTCCAGTGTTTTGAGTTTGTTACGACTCTGGTATCTGACTAGCCCTAATCAGCTGTTTAGCCTTAGAGGGTAGGATTCCCTCTAAGGCTAAAATCTGATTTTAAAAAAGCCACACATTCCAATACCTTTATTATAACATTTACATTGAACACTTTTGCACAGAGGACTACTTTATTATGAACCTTTTTCCGGTAATAGTGAATAGTACTTCTAATCCCCTGATATTTACCATCACTGGGATTGTAGCAGGATGAAGTAGGGCAGAAATGACATAATGTAGCATCCATACTTAACATTAATTATGTAATATGAATGAGTGCATAGTAATATGCTCACTGAGTCTGACTGCTATATGCATTTAGATCATTTTCTACACAGCAGCTGTAGACAATACAGAGAAGTCACACAATTTACAACTAAAGTGGAGCTTCTTATTTGGTAGCAGCAGTAAGGGAAGAGCAGTAACGCAATCAGCTCCGTGTATTAACCAAATATATCCCATGTGTTTTACAAGAGTCTGGCAGCATTTACAAACCTTGAAAAGAAAGAGTCTGGGATCCACATCAGAGTCTGTCTGGAGGTGCTGAACCTGCAGTATGAATTATAACATTGTGAAAAAATAGAAAGTTGCATCATTAAAATCATGACTGGGCAATCTGTCGACCAAGAGGTATAATTAGTGGTCACAACAATGACTGGTGTGGCTAAAAGAAGAAAAAAAACTGCCTTTATTATGAAACTGATATATTGTGTATTTTCAGTGTGTACATTATCCCTCGTGTGTAAGAAAGTAGGAGTAACGATCAAGTAAACAAGCTTGTGTGGTGTGTCTACTCGAGCTACATCCGTGGCTGTTTGTCCATGTAAACACACATCATTACCCACAGGCGCTCAAATTTCACAAATAATTGCTATCATCTTTTGAGGTGTCCCACTGACGAAGCTTACCTCGTCCCACCGACGTTTAACTGAATGATCTCTCCCATCGCAGGCGTTAAACTGTTTCCATTTGTGGCCATGATGAAGTGAACCAGCGAAAAGTCGCTGCTCCGTTATGAACGTTTCTGTCACGAAGGCTAGCTTGCTAACGCTCCAGTCCCCAGCTCAGCTGATGCCCCGACTCCTCAGCCTCACAGCCTCTCCTGCTTCCACCTTCCATAAAATATCCGTTATACACGACCTATGTGAACCGCGTTGCTATCACGAAGCCTCCGCATAGTGAGCGAAGACGGGCTGGGAGTGTTTTTAATCAAAAAAGCAGCCACACAATAATTCCTTTATTTTCCTGCGCGCTTGTTTGCATCACTGCATAGATGTAAATCGTGGATACTAGGTTGCGCAGGATTTTAGCAACGTGAAACAGCTGTACGAGCCAGCTAAAAAAAAAAAAAAAAAAAAAAAAAAAACGCCAAGAGAGTTCCCCTCTAGCAACTTCCGCTTTCGATGAAACCACGTAGTGCCAATCGCTAAAACAATGTTTTAAGGGGAAAATTATTTTTAATTTATAATTAATTTAGTATTGCTGACCGGCACGAGATACGTACGTTTAATTAATTACTAAAATAGTTGTGTGACATACAAGCACATATTTATGAAATTACAATGCCCAGTGAGAACTTTTGAACTTGTATCCCTTATTAAGGGATCTATCTGGATTGTTGTTCAACACAAGTCGCCAAAGCAAAATGCATTTTATTTACTTGTAAAAACAAGTGCAGCATAAAAATAAATACAAAACCAAATACTTGGTAGGTTGAAATTTTAAGATACCTAACTCGGAATTTTCTGATTACTCGTTTTTTTTCAGTTGCGGAAACATGAATATGAAATAGCTCAAATTCAAATAATCACACAATTTTCATGGTGTTTAACCTCAATGATCATGTGATGGAGTAAAAACAAAATCAAAGTATATATATATAGTTATAATCGGCAGCTACAGAATTTTTGCTTTTATTTTAAAAATCTATATATTGTTCTTCTTTTTTTATTATTTAATTTGTTTTATCGGACACAACATTTTGTTTCTTTCTTTGTGTGTCTGTTAGATCATGCGTTGTTAAGTTCGGATAAAAATATTAACCACTCCCACACAACATCGAGGGGAAATATGGACCCAGACACAGCTAAATTTCGAACTCAGGCCTAGTGCTTTGGACAAAAATAATGTAGCCTTTTTGTGTAACTTTTTTAAATAGCGTACTCACCGCTCTGCGTTTTCTGTGCGCAAGCAAGCGCTCCTCAAGTGTTGCCCCGCCCCTCCCACTTATGCTGTGCGAAAGGGACTTGAAACCCTGCAACATTTTTTATGGCGAACTAACATTTTTTATATTGCCGTCTCTTTGCAGCTTTTTCATCAGTATGTAACCCTGGGCTGTTTGTTAACTTTGCGGTGCTCTCGTGATCCACGGTAAGACGTTAGTATGTTGCTGTTCAACTTTTTATGTTGGCAATCTGTTTATTTACCTTTCATTAGCTTGTTAGCCTGGGGAAAGTTAGCCAAGGAGTGGGTGGTTGAACTTTAAGCTAACATTGAACACTAGCAGGAACCTAACCAAATAAGTTCACTTACACGAGTTATTTAGTCTCCTGTAACAGTAATGTCATTTTGCGTCTAAGCTATCAGTAAAGCGCAGGGCTTCCTCTCTTAGTAACTTAAACACACAATTATAGGTAAAGAAACTAGAGTCGGAGAGGAAACGTGAATTACAAATTTTGCTAATGCATCCTTGAATGCATCTTAACTTCTTACTACTTGGAAAGAATTGTAGCTAATTTATTAGCACTAACGACTCATCCATTCTTCGTGAAAACACCTTTGGATGTTGAACAGCCATTTTTAATCAATACAGATGTTATTAACACACAATATGGACATAAATGTGAATGATTCTCAACTCTTCTACCTTTCAGAACACGTTGTCCTTGTTATAAAAAGAAACCCTATAGAAGCTCTCTCACGTTCTATACATATGTGTTATTGTTTACAGTCCTCCCTTCTGATCGCTACGTTGTTGAAAAGCCTGCCTGAGAAGAAGATGGATGTGTGACTCGTTCAAACAGAGATAGGAGAAACAAGAAAGAGACATTGTGTCACTTGTTTCAACTCAGAACCTGTGTGTTATGATGTCTGAGTCAGAGGAGAGGGGAACTCCCTGTACTGAGGGAAAGCCAGAGCTCACATCTGGAAATATGTCCAGTACTACCCACCAGGTACAAAGTGGACCCTCTGTGTCTCCATCTGTGTCCTCTGTCCAGCCTAGTACTATCTCAGCGACAGAGGATGAGGACGAAAGTGAAGATGAATCATATATTCTGGAAGAGAGCCCTTGTGGCCGCTGGCAGAAACGTAAAGAAGAGGTAAGGGTGGATCATTGAGGTAAACTATAAAATGAGGCATAGATGAAAACAAAATGCTGGAGAGAATAAAAAAAGATGATGAAAACACAAAACTTGAGGAAGGTGTTTTTGATTTCTGCTTCATTTTGGTAGTGAAACATCTGATCTCATGAGCCGCTGTTCCCTTTAAATGTAGGTGAATCAGCGTAACGTCCCAGGGATTGATGCTGCATACTTGGCTATGGACACAGAAGAAGGAGTGGAAGTAGTTTGGAATGAAGTTAAGATCTCAGAGAGGAAAAATTTCAAAATGCTGGAGGTGAGGCACATTGTTACAAAGTGATCAGGCACATTGTTACAAAGTTCATAGTGACGCTGTGGCATTTTTTGAATTCTATGAGTGATGTCATCGGGCGCTACTTTACAGGAACTCTCTATGAGCAAGTGGAAAAGCAACATTTTGTACTATTTTATTATAACTGCTATGCTTTCTGTCCTTTTTTCTTGGATTTAGGAAAAGGTAGAGGCTGTATTTGATAACCTGATTCATTTGGAGCATGCCAACATTGTCAAGTTTCACAAATACTGGGCTGACAAAAAGGACAACGGGGCCAGGGTGAGTCTCAGGCTTTCGGAGACATTGTTTCATATTCTGTCAACTCCATAAGAATTATTACTATTGCCCTGAAATAATCACAGTTTACATTTGAACAATGTCTCTCTTTGTGTTTTCTACACACTTCTTTATCTCCCTAAGGTGATTTTTATTACTGAATATATGTCATCTGGAAGCTTGAAGCAGTTTCTGAAAAAGACAAAGAAGAATCACAAGACCATGAATGAAAAGGTAAAAAAAAAAGACTTTATAATACTGCATATGTACTAGAATATATGAAAAGTCTTCTCTAAAGGTAAAAAATAACTATGTTTAAAGCCAGAATGTGGGACTGTCTTTCTGGAGCAAAGCGTACTTTTCATATTATAGTAAAATTTCAGTAATATTTTTTGGTTAAATGTCAAGCCATTTTGGAAACCAACTAGAAATTGCTCTGATAAATTGTGTGATCCTACAGGCTTGGAAGAGATGGTGCACGCAGATTCTTTCAGCTCTAAGGTCATTTTTAAAAATGTTCTTTTATTTTAATATACACTCACATTGATAGAAATCCAGTACATTGTATGTATTTGTAATTTCTTTTTCTTTTTTCTGATATGCAGTTATCTTCACTCCTGTGATCCTCCCATCATCCATGGCAACCTGACCTGTGACACTGTCTTCATTCAGCACAACGGCCTCATCAAGATTGGATCAGGTATAAAATTACACAGGTTTCATCCCCTGCGTTTTAGGTAGTGAAGGCAAAGCAACAGTAAAGGAGTCAAATTATAATAAATTATGGATTAAGAAACAAAGTTTTCGTAGAATTAAACAGGAAATTTCTGTGATTTTTGTGTACAAAATAACAAGAAACAATGTTCAAGTGTTCAAGTCTTGCCAGTGTTAAATATATATTTAATACACAGCCCATGTTATTGCTTTTAGTTTGCAAGCTGAGCAGGAAATAGACTTTGAGGAGTTCAGACTTCTTATATAATGGTCAAATCTTTGCCTTGTTCTTGTACAAACCAGTCCTGCACATCATATGAGGGAACAAAAGTTGTGCATAATGTGGTTTAGAAAACCAATTCTGAGTGTAAATATGGCTACAGTGACTCAAGTGTAACCACAAAGCCTCCAGACAATCCCACACTAAAGTTTAAACAACAGAAGGTAATATTTACATCGCTAGTTTCTGAATTTGGTTCATCTTTTCATCGCATATCTTTCTTGTTTGGTTGGTTTTTTATTTCATTTCTTTTTCAGTTTGCAGTTTTGCTTCTTCCTATCCTATGCGTACTTTTCAGACTTTTCTTATCTTTTCTCTCATCCTTCTGTGTATTCTGAAAATAATTGTCCTTATCTCATTTGCAGTTGCTCCAGACACCATTAACAACCACGTAAAGACTTGTACCGAGGAACAGAAAAACTTGCACTTCTTCGCTCCGGAATATGGAGGTAGATTTAATCAAAATAAGACCTTATATTATTTTTCTCTTATTACTGATATTAGCGATTTATACCTATGATACAGCTCTGTTGGAAAACATGTTTAAACACATGAACTTCAGCTTTCTCACAAAAATATTTTTATTATATTAACATGATTGAAAAGTCAGCGTGTTCCATATTTCATTTTCTTTCCTTTAGCTTAAGAGAGTACACGTTTTTCTCTTCAAAACCCTTTCTGTTAAATAAAATATGGCAAGCTTGTATTTTTAAACAAACAGTATTTTATGTAAATGTATATAACATCAAAGTAATAGAACAATATAAAATGTGAGGAAGAGGTCCTTGGAGGCATACTAAATTCTTATGCCCCATTCTAATATTTTTGCTTATTGCACAGTTATTTTTCCATTTAAATTCCAGGCACAAAGTACTTCATGCGACAGGATCATGTATGCTCTTATTAATATCTCTTTTTGGGTTGTTTTTTTTGGTTTTTGGGGGTTTTTTTGGTCAGCTGGTGTGCTGTCAAAGACGCACTTTTGATTATTGGATCATAGGTCTTAGTCTAGATTACGATGTAATATATGTACATACTGTCTTTTCCCGTTGTAGATGTTGATGTTACTACAGCCGCAGACATCTACTCCTTTGGCATGTGTGCCTTAGAGGTGAGATGGGACCCGTAGTATATGATATATAAGAGCTTAAACTGTTTCCCAGAGCTGTCTGTTAATGAGTGCTGATGTGTTGCAGATGGCACTGTTGGAGATTCAGGGGAATGGAGACTCTTCTTACGTTTCTCAGGAGGCCATCAACAATGCCATACAGTTACTGGAGGACCCACTGCAGAGGGTGAGATTCAGTATATCGTGTGTTTGTAGGCGTCAGCATCTTTATTCAGTCCTGATCAAAAGTTTAACACCACTTAAAAAAATGGCAAAAAAGTCATATTTTGCATGGTTGGATCTTAACAAGGTTCCAAGTAGAGCTTCAACATACTACAACAAGAAATGGGAGTAAGACAAAACATTTTTCTGGACATAACCAGCGGCCGTTTGATAACCCTGCACCTCTTGAAGCTCCATTGTTCCACTGAAGGAAAAAGCACCTCACACCATTTTTTTGAAGGCCTTCAGTCTCAGATGCCGTCTGATGTTTATGGGGCTGCAGTCTGCACCAGTAACAGCCTTAATTTGGGTTTGAGGACCATCCAGTGTCTTGAACGACAGCCAATTAGATCCTCCGGCTCAGTGCTGGTAAAATTTTTTTGGTTCTTCCAATTAACCATAACCCTCAAGATCATTTAAGAAATTCCAAATGACTGTCTTACTGCGTCCCACCTCAGCAGCGATGGTGTGCTGCGAGAGGCCCTGTTTATGCAGTTCAACAACCTGACCGCGTTCAAAAAGGGAACTTTTTTTTTTTTGCCTTTGCCATCAGAACGTCATGACAGTGTGACTACCTGACAGAAAATGACATTGAATCCACATTTTTGCACAGATTTGGCCTTGTGGTCCTAAACTTTTGATGAGGTGCTTCAGTTTAAACATTACTTTCATTAAATTGCATGCTCAAAAAATGTTTTGTCTCATTCCCATTTCTTCTGTATATTATAGTTTTTGTTTCCTTTGTCCTGCCTCCCTCCCTCACCCTCAACTGGTTGCAGCAGATGTATGCCCCTCCCTCTCCTGGTTCTGCCAAATGTTTTCTACCTGTTAAAAGAGAGTTTTTCCTTCCCACTATTGCCAAGTGCTTGCACACAGGAGATCACCTAATTTTTGGGTTTTTTCTTATGTTATATAGGAATTAATCCAGAAGTGCCTGGAATGTGACCCTCTTGCCAGACCTACAGCCCGGGAGCTTCTTTTTAACCAGGCTCTCTTTGAAGTACCGCTCTTAAAACTGCTGGCTGCACACTGTATTGTCAGCCATCAACGTAAGTCCCTTCCCCCCAGCAAAGACAAAGTTTTATCAGGCTTAAAACTTGCAAACCTCTCATGAAGAAGACATTTTTTTAAAATCTGAACAAGCAAATTTAGAAACATAACCTTAAACTGTGTTGTTAACAGTGTGATAAACATATTGCACTGCACGTTTCATAAGCTTTTTTTCTGCTAATTCATTATCATCTTTTTGTGGTGTGGTACTGAGCAAAACAGGTCGCAAGCTAGTGTGACTAATGGTGTCATTTCCTGCCTCTTGAACAGATGCAGCAACAAGAATGTATGCAAGTGTAAATTTAAAGATATTTACTTTTATGTTAATTTAATTGCCCAGACATGATTCCTGAGAATGCCCTCGAGGAGATCACTAAGAAACTGGACCCAAACCTGGTTGTTGCCGAGACCAAAGAGGATGTTCAGCTCAAGTAAGTGCCAAAGGCTGATATTCGTGTTGTAGTTTAAATGAACATCTAAAATTATGTTTTTATTTTGCACCTTATTTAAATAGCAGTAACATCAGTGATATAAAGTATTCTCTAGGTTGTTTAGTAGTAGAACATACTGTTTACTCAGCAATATAATAGCTGAAGGGTTGTCAAATAACCCCCCAAAAATAAATATATATACATATTTAGTTTTTTGTATTTTTCATTAATCATTATAATATATTAAATATTGTCTCAAATGGTTCAAAAAAGTACTATTCCCTTTTTTTCTGTAGGCTTTCACAGTTTCCAGCTTTGGAGCTGGACAAGTTTCTGGAGGATGTGAGGTAAATGCACAGCTGCTGCTATTAACCCTGTGTATGCTCAAAAATGGGTCTGGCCACAAGGAGGCAGTAGTGGGCCATCTGACTGTTTTTTGTACTGCCTCCACTTATCTTTTAAAGTACTATATGATGTGATGTGATATTTTCAGTATCTTAGATTTTGTGGCTATTATTTGTTAAAAAATAAAATGTTGTGTTTTGGGCCTTTTGTCTTCAACTATTAACCATATTTATTACACTGATTTATCCAATTCCCATTCTTATTCCATTGTCTTATCAGTTCACTTTGTTTCTTTTTTATGTTTTCTCCACATTTTCCTTTCTTTTTTCTCTCTTTTGATCAGGAATGGTATTTATCCAATGACGGCATTTGGGCTGCCCTGTCCACATCAGGCTCAGAAGGAGACTATTAAATCTCCTGTAGTCGTCCCTCCAGTCAAATCCCCAACACCTGAACCTTCAGAGCTTGAGACACGGAAGGTGTGTAAAACAACTAATACCAGCATAATGGACATTGAACTGGCCACTGAATGAAGACACAGCGCATCACATAAAGTTCTATTGTGACTGCTCTTCTTTTTCTGCAGATTATTCAGATGCAGTGCAGCTTTGAGCCTGTCGAAGAGGGAGCAAAGTATCATGTAAGAGTTATAACATTAGCAGTTTTCTCTTTTTATTTTTAAAATAATTCAAAATACAACAACCCTGCTGCAACAACTTGAAATGAAAATAACCTTTTCTCAATCTATTTCTGTCCTTTTAGCTTACATTACTGCTGAAAATGGAGGATAAACTGAATAGACATCTAAGCTGTGACATGTTACCTCGTAAGATCAACATATTTCATATCTTATCATCAGTTCATATGACACGCTGACACATGTGTAGTGAGCTTGAAAAAGCTAAACGCTGTTGTCGATCAAGTATAGAAAATTTGGAAGACTTGCATTATAAACACACAAAAAAAAAACAATATTTAAAATTTCCATCAGCTAAAACTTAATGGCTTCTGGTAGAGGTTCACATGTAAACATGTCAGACTTCAGAGTGAGGTTTTTATAAAGAATATCTATTTTGTCGATAGGTTTGGATTTAGGGTTAATGATAGAATTCCATTTGCATGTATTGGTAAACAAGGTTGACGAGGTTGTAAATATGTGAGTGTGATTTTTATTACTTTAACATGGAGTATCCCTCCCTGTGTCCACGTGTTTGTACTGAGGCATGTAGGAAAGTGAGAGTGAAGTTCCAGAGAGAGCTTGAATGGCGTCACAATGTACACAGTGTGCATGACTATTTTAGGCTGGAAGACTAGCTGTCGCTTGTGTGTCATGAAAATCTTGTGCTTATTTTAAAAATTTATTTGACGTGCTTTTATTAGATGGTTGAAATCTGATCAGTCTTCATCATGGAAAAAGAGAAAAAAAAAATTTGTTTTTTTAAATTTTGCTAGTTTTTGAATGACAAGTAGAAGCTTGAAGGGAGGCAAATGAGAATATAACATACAACTGGCAGTGCGATCTGATCTAATGCACATGCACAAACAGGTATGGTAGGCATGTGTAATGTTGCAGGCGTGTGGAGAATGTCAGGCCTGTGAAAGGCTGCAGCTGCCAGCTGTCACCTCCTGTGTCAAGGTCTGCTCATCTCTTCCCGGGCTTTCATCCCCCTGTCTCTCATTTACAGACTCAGTTTGTCACATACTCGCATGCATTCACTTTACTCTATCTCTTTAGCATTTTCTGTTTCTCACACCATATGTCTTCTTTTGGACACTTGCACCCAAATGCCACTGAAATACTTGATGATACTTTACCTCCATGCGCACCCACACTTACTAATCACGCCTTGTTGTTCTTGCAAACTGTCTTAGATATTTTTTGAAGACAGAAAACCCTAACTCACATTGAACCACTCAGATTTCACCACCTTACCATTTTGCGTGGTTAAGCTAAATCCTGCTACAACATATATATACAAGTAAAGCATGTTTACATTAAAGGTAAATGGGTGCTAATTTTGTTAAATGACTTAATACCAGACCACAAGGAGCAAACAAGTGAGGAAGCCTCACGCTGAACTTGAATATCAAGCCCCTCTTCACGTAGCTGGGGCCCACGGGTGTGTTTGTTAATGTCAAAGTTATTGGATCCTCTGTCTCCTCCTGCAGCTTGTGTTGTCCCAGCCACATTCCTGGTATAGTTATAAATTGACAGCTGTGTTATTAAAAATTGACAGACCATGACAAACCACACAAAGCACAGAATAGTGCAGCCACTATAGAAAAAGGAAAAAGTTTCAAAACATTAGGTTTTAACCAAACAGGTGGTCTTGGAAGGAAGTAGGCAACAAAATTTGTGATAATACTTTGTTCTGAATATTTTACCAATGTCTTAATGTATTCTGAGCAACCTAGCAATTATGTAAGCACCTTTATCTGACATTTTCTGTCAGTTTTTAGGTAAACAGTGTGTACAGTCACATATTGCTGTGAAAAAGAAAGAACAGGATTAGATGTTGACAAACTAGATAAAACTAGATTAGATTTGAGTTTTTTATGGCTGTAGAAAGAAGAGTTGGGAGATACTAAGACTTCAAAAAGAGACAAACATGGTTTAACAGTTTTTGACCTGGCAGAACCACTTTTGTCCTTTTCTTCTAATTTGATAAATCTCTTCCGGCACCCTCAATAGTAGATGCTTGTTGCCTTATAACATTTAAAATTTGCACAGCCATACCACAAAAATGTTTTAGTGGTGCAAAGAGCAACCAGAGTATTTGTTTTTTTTTATTCGTCTTATGTGGTGTGTGTGGGGGGGTACTTAACATTTTTATTAGCTTTAGCTTCATGGGTGTGTGTGCTGAAGTTGTGACTGTGAATTACTGTTACAAACTACATTGGTATGTGTTTCAGATGAGACCTTTCAAGATTTGTCCGCAGAGTTGGTGCAGCTGGGCTTAATCAGTGAGGTGGGTTTTTTCCTGTGTTTAAAAAAATCATTGTGTGTGTGTGTGTGTGTGTGTTTTATTTCCAGTGTTTGAAAGTGGCAGCTGATCATTATTAATATACTCTCCCACACGGAGACATTTTTTTTTACTTTTTTGCCAACATTTCTTACTTCCTGACACAGTTTCTGTTATATATTTATTTATTTGTATGTATGTGTGATTATAACATCCTGGGTTGTTGTCATTGTCTTTATGTTCTTTGCAGGTGGACCAAAACACAGTAGCCATTCAACTAGAAGAATCATTCAACCAAGTTCCTCACTAGCAATGGCTTACCAGACCATCGCTCTCAGCCTTGTTACATGTTCTTTTTTGTTACTCAACACAGTGACTACCTGGTTTGCTTGTTTCATTTTTATTTTATTTTTTTAATGAAGCCTTAAGCGATGATGTGACCAAAGGAGAAGCGCTTTCTTACTTCAGGGAATAACATTTCCTAAAAGTTCCCAAATATTAAAAGTAAAGCCAGATGACTCCACGCAAACCTCCAGTAGTAATTTGAAGTTTTTATTTTAAAAGTCAAATGCATACACGCCTACAATAAGTTCATGTCAGATCCTTTTGAATGATTTGGCTATTAAGTTAGGTATGTCGAATTGCAAGCTAAACTTAATCAGTGCTGGAACATTGATCAAGTTTAACACACTTAGTTGCAGTTTTATATTGAAAGCTACACTTTCCTCACAGTTGTATTTCAGGGCAGGGTGTTTACATAATGATTTGCCTGGCCTGTTTGTGTTCTGGGAGGAGATGGTGTAAAACTTCATCAGACCTCATTCTGGCCTTTAAGAGTCACATGGTTTTCTTGCTCCTGTTTTACAGTAGAATCTAACACCTGTTGACAGTCAGCAAAATTGTGACTTGGAGGGAAGTGGAGGGATGCGTTTCCACACCAAGGAAATCTAGAAAACAACTTACATCAGTTTCTTCTCGTTTGGCTCCTCGTTACATGATAGAGCATTCCCACCTCTTTGAATTTCAGTGTTTGTTAGACCAACCAAGTGCCTGTTGGGTTAAATATGTAGAATAGTTTGAAACTGGATAACAGACACTTGTTTTATTTCACTTGATAGTTTAAAAAAAAAAAATCTATGTAATTTAAAAGGCCTTTGGTACACAACAAAATGTGTGTGTATTTCACATTTTGAGAAGCCATCTTACCCTCTTTCTCTGAAAGATGATCTCTTGGTTACTTTAAGATACTGTGAACTCAGAGTTACTGAATTTCTCTTTTATTTTTTATGGGCTTGCTTTACTGTAGGCACTCTTGCCTGTAATTCCTCTTTTCATATTGTTTTTATGTTGTTTGGTTTTACCATTTGCTGCTTGTTGGGTTCGCACACGGTACTCTTCCCTTAAGTCGTTCAGAGAGACTTGTGTACTAAACTCATCTGCCATATCTTGTAGAGAGATGACCCAGGCTTTTCTTTGTGTGTTTTATACATGTTAATCCGAAATAGCATGTGTTTTTCTTTATTTGTTTACAGCAACAGCACAGACACCACGCTGATAGTCTCAGCCAATACACAACCCGTTGTGTTTCCGTTGTTTTCTTTGTTAAACAGTGATTTTTGCTAAAACTCGGACCTGTTGCATTGAGCACAGACACTTGAGTAAACACCTTTTACATCATACAGGTCTTGTTTAGACCTGTGTTGTGACCAGGGAGTTAATTGTGGCCTTTTTGTGACATTGTGGCACAAAACTCTTTTTGAACTACTGGTACTGCTGTCTGAAAGCTCAAACAATTTAGGAACTTAAACAGGTAGTAAAATTACTAGAAAAACAACTGTTGCGTACGATAACTTCTGCTGTGCTGGTATTTTATTAAAAATATACTTCTAAGTGTATTGTAACTGGTCTAGCAATCCGATGAAAAGTTGTTTGCGCTTTCAGACTGATATTTAATCCAATGCTGGTTATTGAGCTATAATATTTAAGCTGTACACCTCTCTGTTGAGATAATAATCCAGTGATTTCAGTGGTCTTTTTCACCAAGTTCAGGTCACTTTTTCTGTCCCACCTTCTTTTGTACATAAGTGTTCTGTCCTATTCCATTATTTTCCACTGTCTGCATGTGTGTTTGTGAACTGGCAAGGTTGTATTTTCCAAAGAGTTGTTCTCATGCCAGCCAGGAGAATGTAAATGCACCACATGTAGAAGTGGTTTAAAAAAAAAAAAAAAACCTCCAATGTGATGCACCTGAGTTTTATACTGACTCTCTCTCCCCTGCACCTCTGTTCTCTCTTACTTTTGTACCTTTCCAGCCAGTTTGTGATGAAACTGGTTAATAAGTTATTGTACAGGGTGTGCAGCTCTAGCCAGTTACTCCATGATACCAGCTTTTGGTTGTATTTTGAAATTCCTACATTTTGTATTTCAAAGAATACTGGTTCTTACGAATAAATGTGTGAACTGCATCATGACTTTGTGTTTTTGGAGTCATTTGCGAATCAGAGTTTCACAGTTTTGTGCCGGTTACACTATTAGTGACAATTACACACAACAAAGATGCAATGAATAATCTGAAATGACTGCTGCGCCCTTCCGCGTCCACGGAGGTGCAGATAATACACAGGTGAGATCGATGACGTCATACAGGAAGTAATATAGGGCCGTACGTGTGGTTTGGAGTTTCTGCTATCGTGCTGTTGAACTGTAGCCCGAAAACTCTGGACTTTAATAACAGAAAAACGTCGTTCCCTGCAGAGAGATGTGCACTTTTGGTGAGTTTGCCTGTGATTGTATTCAGGTGCTGTAAAAACCACCGTAGACTGCATAGTAACGACTTCCTCCCACTGTTATTTTCCATCTTACCTGCGGGTATATACCTGACCACCAGGCTGTGTGGATTCATTTGCAAAAGTTTGCCTAATCTATATAGTAGCCACCAGTTTCTCTATTGCTTTATTTTAACTTATTAATAGTGGAAATTGGCTTTTTAAACAATCAGAGAAGTGATGGCAACTCGAATAAGTGATCGAGAATCGAGTAAAAGGAAGCACGTTTGTCCGCGCTAACTCCAATCTCTGGCCCAGTGGTCACTCACAGTTCTTGTTTCACCCGTGTTTGCTGTTACTCGTTATGACGTACGGAATGTATAATAATAATAATAATAATAATAATAATAATAATAATAAATGTTTTGGTTGGGGGACAGTTTTCACCACGTGTATAAAACACACGAAGAGGTAAATGGGTCGATAAAAGGGTTAAAAAAATGTGTGAGACTTTACAGACATTACATTGTGAAGAGAGACGCAAAGAGCTGGACAGCCACACCAGTGTTAGCTGTTTTAGCTTTCTGCTCAGATTGTTTTGTCAAAAGAAACCGCATTAACATTAAAGTACTTCATTTGTCCACCAGAGAGAGCTGACAGGTTGATTAACCGATTTATCGGCTTTGTATGCATATTATCCAAGTCATTTATTTATAAATATTTTTTTAATTGTGAAGCTGTAAAAAATACATAATTTATATTCTACAGTTAAAAGCAGGTTCTCTGACATAACTGTGGACGAGTAATACTCAAAGGGTAGGTTTAATCTGAATGCCACGTGTACAACAAAAAGAATATATACATGAAGTAATGAATTTGCTAGCTAGAAAATAAAATGGTTCACATGTACTAGAATCATGTAAAATTAGGTCTGTTAGAATGAGTTTTAAGAAGCAATTTAAAGGAAGTCCCTGATTCTGCAAGCCTGATATCGTCAGGTAGTCTAAAGACAAGAGGCCCTGATGACAAAAGTATGGTCATCTGCAAGTATGCTAATCTGGGGTCAGCGGAAGTAACCGGGGGCCAAACTGAGACAAGCTTTAAAATAACCGTAAAAATCAATTCTAAAACGTATAGGAAGCCAGGATGGAGGCCTTTCTCCAGGCCTGAGTGTCACAGTAGGTTTCATTCTAGAGATGGTTGTAATTTTAGCAAAACCGAGACTGGACAGCGTTTTTATGTGATATAACAAGTCTATTGTTTTTGTATGGAATAGGTAGATTCATCTCCCATAAGTTATATTGACAGTCAAACCACCCACTGTTACCTTTCTGTACGTGCCAGTTAATAATCGAAAGTTTTACTTTCAGATAAGGACAAAGGGCCAAGGAGGCTGATGAGAAAGGGGTTGGCCCTTATAATCATCGGCCATATAAACTTCATCTTTGGCGCCATTGTCCATGGCAGCATTCTCCGCCACATTTCCAAACCCAGCCAGCAAATTTCTACTGAATACACCGTGACCAACATCATCTCCGTCACCTCGGGCTTGCTGGTGAGTCAGTGGTTTTCTTTTTGTGTTTTAAAGTCAACTTGGCACTTCAAATGAGCATGTTGTGAACCAAGCAACATTAAACCTCTAGGAGTTTCTGCCTTCATCAAAACATTTTACTTTAAAGTTTTTATCACACAGAGCTATCTGCAATCACATTTATATCAGCAGTTCCGTTTGTTTGATGCATGAGAACATCAAAAGAACTTTTTTTTTTTTTAACTTTACCTCAGTGATAGTGTTGAGTATGTTTCTAAACAATCAAGACTGAACTTGCTGATTACAGGAGAGCCGGTTCTTCAAAACAGCTACTTGTCCCTTCGGGGCAGACCTCATTACAATTACAGTCATGTACCACATAAACTTGTTGGGGATAAGAAGATATTAACTTTGTTTCCTTTCATATTTTAAGAGTGTACAAGTAAGACAGAAAGTAGAAGTTACCAGATATTTTTTACTTTTCAATAATGGGCCTAACTCCTGTTAAAGAGCCTGTTTGTTTTTAAATTGTAAGTTCTTCTTCTACAGGATTTAATGCATTCATTTAATTGCTGGTAACTTAATAAACCCTGTACTGTGCAAAGCTTAAAGACTGATCTCATCCTATCTCATGATTTGAATGTTACAGAGTATTGCAACTGGGATTATTGCCATTGTGGTGTCAAGGAACCTTAATGTGCTCAAAGTGGTAAGAATTTAACTTGACTTCAGCTACCAATATGATCACTTCAGTCACTGACACTGTACACATCCCCTCATAGATGTAATTTATTTGTACTATCTATTTTCAGCAAATAGGCCTCCTGACTGCATCAATCCTGAATGCTTTGCTCTCAGCAGCATGTTGTGTCGGACTTCTCTTTGCCATTGGTGTCACAATTGCCCACGATGGGACAGCTTTGATGGTCGGTTGCAGTGACACACAGGTGCCCATAAATGCTCGGTCACCTGTTGGTGTCCAATGTCCATTTGATACTACAAGGATCTATGTGAGTTTGAAGTCCCCTCCCCTTCCCTCAGTGTAAAACATGATTTTATTTTATTTTTTAAAGCATGACATGAGAAAGGATCAACATTTATCCCACATTTTCTCCTTTCCACCACCTCCCATCTCTCAGGACACCACCCTGGCTCTGTGGATCCCCTGTGCAGTGTTTTCGGCAGTTGAAGTAGGACTGTCAGTGTGGTGCTTCATGGTGGGACTGGCTCTCAGGGGGCTGCCACCCTGCAAGAACAACTACATCAAAGAGCAGGTGTGTATCTTTGTGTGGGCCAGATGGATATGCTTGAGGGGTATAACTTTGGTGTGTGACTCAAACACACACACACACACTTGGGCTAATTCAGACACAGAAGTTATTCATTGCTACTCCTTCTCACACAGCCATCCTTTAAATAAAGGCTACCTGTAGACATCCACGCTCACTCTGTCATATTACAAAAACCAAAACCGCTCATACTCGTCTCATCATGCCTCGTCTTTTGTGTCATTCTCTGTTCTAGTTGGAGGAAGAGGCCGAGTGCTCTCCTCACAGCCGACACCTGATTGGAGAGCGTGCGAATCCCGAACTGTAACTAAACAATAACAAGCACATCTAAGAAGGCTAAATCCCAAAAAGCATGACTGCATCTCTGCACAGACTGAACTATTTCTTCTACAGTCATTTAGGGTAGTGTTACTCCAGTAATGTAGTGCAGGAATGGAATGAGTTTACTACAGCTGGCTGCTCACAGCTCCACTTTGTGTCCCTAACTAATGTTAATTTAGTGAACACATCACAAAAAAAACCCCTATTGACTGATGGGATTCAGCGTTCATGCCAATGTAAGTGACAATATATACAGGTACAAAGTAAGATATAAAGAATATAAAGAATATAATATAAATATAAAGATATAAAGAATGATTTCAGTCCTGTACCCCTACTTGACTGTTTGAGTTTTAAGTGTGCCAATACGATGAAACCTTTGTTCATGAAGGAAAAACTAGCAACAATGTTTTTAGATTAACTCAAGTATGTTTTAGTATGTATGCTTATTTCAGAGACATATAGCTTTTTGCAATATGTTTAGTGTTTTACTGTTTGTACAGATTAATTAATCCACTGTGCTGCATTTAAGATGCCTTCAGCGGACCACAGAAAATGAAGTCTTGCTGTTTATGCAAATTGGAAACCTATGATGAAGATGGTTATGTAAATTGGAAATTTGTTGTATTGAAAGATAATTGTAAAGGTAACTGAAATGAGTATCTTGGGATGGAGAACCCTATTTGCTTGCTGAACATCCCATTGATGTGGTTGTACTGTATTTAATATGCACTATAAAGTGTTTTTATATATTCTTTTTCTAATTACATTATTATTTGTCAGCTTTTTGCTTAAATTCTGAGAAATCATGTTTCAAAGAGATTTTAAACTAAAACTGTAGTGAGATTAAATTGAGTATGCTTTTTTTTTAAAAAGTAAACTTTTTATTGGTGGTCATACATTTGAAGTAAGCAGTAATCATTTTAAGCAGTGTCCAGAATTTTTGTAAGGCCATGCATTTCACACACATATACTTTACTCTGTATCAATTAAACATAATGTGGACTTAAAGCTGTGTGCTTGGACTGTCTTTGTGCATTTACAGTACTCTGGTTATATGTTAAGTAGTGTTATATTAGGAGGTGAAAGCCAGAATGTGGGCCAGCAGTCTAAGCTGCACACACTGACTCAACGACAGAGGGGATCAGATCAGATCAACCATGAAACGGTTAATCCACTGGCATGTTCAATCGTGTGGAAGCGAATCATAGCTCACTAATCCTGAGGCTATCAGGGATAAATATTGACACTGTGTTGACTGATACAATCAAAACAAATCTGCGTGTGTCACACCGGACACACAGGCTTATATGAAACCACGAGATTAATACGAAGAGTAATCATCTTGGTTGTTTGTTAGCTTCATGTATGAATTGTGGCGAACAAAATAGTTTTAAAAAAAAAACTCATTACAGTTCAGATTTTTTTTTAAAAATTTCAATGCATTTTGTTTCTAAACTTAGCACACTGTCTTCATGAGGTGTTTTGTACCATTTAGTTTTACATCTGCAGAAAGCCCACACGTACAGACTCCTGTGGGGCCAATTTAGTCGAGTCTTTGCGCGGTCACGTCGAATCCGCGGTCCCGACATGTCGACTGCGCGCCGCAGTCAAACCAGCTGCAAACAGGGAAACAAACGAGCTGCTGCAGTGAACGGAGCCGGTGGAGCAGAGGACTGCTCGGTGTTTTACACACAAGGTAAATCATTTATTACTGTAATGTTAGACCGTAACTGTGCTGCCGACTCATAATTGAGTGTTCACGAGCAAGGCAGGCAGACTTCAAGGAAAATGCTTTAATTAGAGGAGCCGTGCTCTAGAAGCGCCCTACTACTGCTGCTGGGCTGAAGACACTGCGGTGACAAACGGATTGATAGGCTGTGATCCTGGCGTGTCACCACCGTATGAGCGCTTTGCCTTAACGCGGCGAAGATGCGGCACTGAAGCCAACCTTTAAAGATTTGTGCCCCCTTTAAAAACAGCCAGCTTTTCCACCCGGCGTGGAGGAGAAGGAAGCTAACGTTAAGGGCAGTGCCCCACAGTTACACAGGTGCTCGCTTGAAGTAGTTACCAATTTAATAGCGATAACGCTAGCTAGCTATGAGCGTTGAAGCAAGTTAGCTCGTGCCTAACGACCGACTGGGAGCAATTCACGCACGTGCGAATTAAAAGGCGCGATGCCGGATTCTGCTTTATTTGAATGATGTGTGTCTGAAGTTGACTGTGTGCGCGTGTGAAACATCGCAGGTGTGCGTTACTGTTGCCCGGCCAACCTCTCACAAACACGGCAGTGGGGGGCGGGGGGAGTGTCAGATGTTCTGCAGGTGTAACGTTCGCATTAGCGGCTTTGAACGAGAGTAACTACCGAGGTTTGCTTTGAACGTGTTTTCAGTTGTCTGCAGCGTAAACACACACTGACAAAACACTCATAGACGAAAAGCACTAAAAACACAGAGACAAGCCAAGACACTATCTCTAAATTATACTATCACTCATTGTGTCAGGAAAACACAACTATCCTGCACATATTAGTGGATTTTATGAGATATTTAAACCTCGACGCTTGTATAGAGTAGGGTGTGGCTGGTGAGGGACAATACCAGATTTTAATTAAAGCTTTCTTTGTGTTTTTATTCTGCAGGACCTGCTTAATGGATCTAAACCAGTGTGGCAATTTATTTTTGAAATAACAAAATTAAAAAAAACAACAACAAAACAATTTCCATGTTATTTGTCATAGAAAGGGTTGGTTTGTTCTTTGAAATATGTCTGGAAATGAATTAAGAAGCTGAACATTTTCAAGGGAGAAAGAAGTATAAAAGAGACCTCCAGCAGAAGGCTGAGAGTGGGACATACTCTCCGTTTGGAGGTGGGATTTGTTTTTGACAATGGAACCATCAGGAGGTGGAGGGAAATCATAAGATGATTTTTAAGTGACAGTTCAGACCCAGAAGAGCACATACAACAGTTGCTGGCAAATGTGAAGACTGTGAGAAAGATCAGCACCATACGGGAGCGTGCCCATTTTGTGGATTTTTCGTTCTCTAATGTGGATCTATTGCTTTAGCACCACTACTGGGACAAAAAATGGACCTAATTCCTTCACAGATTGCCTGTGTAATGGTTTACTGCATTATAATATTGTTGCCCTGAGATGCTGTGGAGACATATCTAAATTTAAGATGCAAACACCTCTTGGAAGAGGATACGTAAGAGACACCTTTCCAAAAACTGCAATGGCTGATTGCATACTAAGGTTTCCGATCCATTATTTCTTCATGCCTGTCTTCCTGTTGGTCTTCTCCCTGGTTACACCTGCCTATGCCATTCATTTGGAGTCCATCGAGAGCCACAGTGAGTTTACCTGTGAGCCCATCAGACTGAGAATGTGCCAGGATCTGCCTTACAACACAACATTCATGCCCAATCTTCTGAACCACTATGACCAGCAGACTGCTGCACTAGCAATGGAGGTATGCTTATATATGTGTGTGTCTGTGTGTGAGAGTCCTTCATTTGTGTCACAATACACAGGGAAATTGGTTAGCTGATG